TCACCCTCAGGTAAAGAACACAGCTGCCAATGTACTCAGGGAAACATGGCTCATTTACAAACACACCAAGCTGGTCAAGAAGATAGATCATGCCAAGGTGCGGAAACACCAACGCAAGTTTCTCCAAGCCATCCACCAGTAAGTCCTGGACTTCCTGCGCTTTAATCGACCGTCTAAACTGGTTGCTGCCCTTTTAAAAATCTCTCTCCAGAAAGTAAAAATAAATAAATACTTTTAGTGTACTGGTTATATTGCTAATATGGTAAAGAACTGTAGCCATAGCTGTATAGAGTTGTTGTTTTAGTGTTGTTGTCGTGTAAATTTAAACAGATACACACAAACACACTCAAACTATTGTGATGGTCCTTCCTCTTTCCCTCCCCTCCTCCCTTTACCCCCTCCAACCCTCTTCTACCCTGCGCTTACAGCGACAAGTGTAACAGTTTCACTCGTTTCGTGAATGTTGTGAGGTTAAAACTCTGTATTGTGTTCTGTCCTTGTTTTGCTCTATCACCGCAGAGCTCAGAAGTAAGTTAAGTCTTCTATGTTATCCTTCTCCTCCTGTTTCCTCAACATCCTCCTCTTCCTCCTCCTTCTCTCCATGTCTGCGTTTGACATGCATGAGAAAAAGAATGATAATTTTTGGATGCTGACTTAATTTATTTTTTTTTTTTTTCGGTTTTGTTCTTTTCTTGGTGTTCCATTTCCTCCCCTCTCCTTCCCATTCTCTCTTGAATGGAATGAGGCAAAAAAAAAAAAGCATCAACATTTTGCCACCAGTGTCAGTAATTAAAGGTTGTCTGGAGAGAATGTGTGAAAGAAAAAAAACAAAACAAAGATTCTCACAGAGAGTGAGCTTGGACCTTTTTATAGGCCAAGATCATACTCATCTACCGCACACAAGTATGACTAATATAGCCGCTCCCGAGGCTATATTAACCGTCATCGGCAGAACTCATCCTACATATTCCTGATGGTTTTGTGATGACATTTATCCAAAGCTTGTAACAACACTGTAGTCACATAAAGGAGCTAAACTGTTTAAAATAATTTAAATCTTGATTTATGCACATTCAATGGAAAAGTCCGGTCAGCAAGGAATAACCAATGGGTCATTATTTATACCTAAAAATAATATGTTTGAGGTGATTTAATAAATTTAACGTTAATCTGTAAACAAATTAATAAAAACAATGTTTTTTGTTGCAATCACTGACACCGGGAGCGGCCATTTTTGCCCAAATATAGTAACACCTTACTAACATCTTCCGGCAGTGACATCCCGGTGCGGTTAGCCTAGCACTCAGGCTCGGACTGGTAATCTGTGATAGTGGGCATTTGCCCCGGTGGGCCGGTCCTAATTTCAGCATGCAATGGCGGCCCTTCTTAAATCATACCGGCCCCAAAACTTACTCTCTGGCCGAAGCTCCTTCCTGTGACAGTAAATAACTCAAGGAGCTCAAGAAGTAATCCAATGTTAACTACCTTATTGATGCATGCTGTATATACACTCACCGGCCACTTTATTAGGTACACCTGTCCAACTGCTCGTTAACACTTAATTTCTGAGCAGCCGATCACATGGCGGCACCTCAGTGCATTTAGGCATGTAGACATGGTCAAGACAATCTCCTGCAGTTCAAAGCGAGCATCAGTATGGGGAAGAAAGGTGATTTGAGTGACTTTGAACGTGGCATGATTGTTGGTGCCAGAAGGGCTGGTCTGAGTATTTCAGAAACTGCTGATCTACTGGGATTTTCACGCACAACCATCTCTAGGGTTTATCATTTCACCCTTTAAGCAAA